TACACGGGAAGAAGGGGTCCTTTCTTGACCTCTGCAGGTAGCCTGAAGGATGAGATGAGGCAGCCCCTGTTGTCTTGCACAGCTATAAATGTTGCTGTGTTTATGAGATTATCCTTCCCTTAGGAAAAAACTTGCTACAATATTTGACTCCATGACCTAGTAAGGCCGTGATTGCCATAGGCAGACTATGTGCTATCTAATGCCGTACATCCTTTTATTTGCTGTAAATTGAGTGCTGCTTAATGTCATTGTGTTCACATGTTCTCTTGTTATGGGACAGTTTAAAAGGAAAGATGTTCTTGCTATGGCCTTCATAATTTGGAACACTGCACATCTGCACAATTAGGTCCCCTTTAAATCTTCTTCCTTCCAGGCTAAATTGTTCTGTTTTTACTGTCTGTTGTCCTGCCATACTTTTAACCCAAGCCATATAACTAACGTGCACACTACAGAAATCTTTGCTTTTTCCCCTACATGGCTTTCAGGCCTTCCCTTTGCTCTCCTCACCCTCCCCTTAGCAGCCACCCCACAGCATACTTCTCACTAGTTTTCCTGTTAGCATAATGAGAGAGCTGTGCTATGCAGCACCCGGCAGAGAAAAGACAGATGGAGCTCAGAGTTCTGGAGGCCTTTCAAATGGAATGCTTATTTCCTGCCAGGCTGGGGATTAACAGAAAGGCCCTCAGTCCTATGGTGGGAGAGGTGGGGTAAGGAATCCCATCCTTTTAAGAGGAAAGAGTGGAAGGAAGAGGACACCCAATGCTATATTTTCTTAAGATAGCAGTAGTTCCTGTGCTGAACAAACAGCAGATTTTAGGGCTCTTTCGGCACAGGACTTGGCTCCTTTTACACAGGAATTCTGTTTTAAACTGCTACTGTTTCCAAACCCGACTTTCCATCAGGACCGGCTCCAGCCTTTTTTCCGCCCCAAGCGGCGAAGAAGAAAAAAAAAAAAAACCCGATTGAAGCAGAGTGATTGAGCTGCCGCCGAAGTGCCACCGAAGAGAAAGCAAGGAACTGAAGGACCCACCGCCAAATTGCCACCACAGACCCGGACGTGTTGCCCCAATAATGGACAGACTGCCGCCCCTTTCTATTGGCCGCCCCAGGCACCTGCTTCCTTCGCTGGTGCCTGGGGCGGCCAATAGAAAGGGGCGGCAGTCTGTCCATTATGGAGAGCCGGCCCTGCTTTCCATTGTGCCCATTCTGAGTTTTAAGCTCCAAGTGTTAGCATAAAGAGATTTGTACTTTTAATTCCCAGCAGTGCAGCCATTGCTATTATCCCTCTTTAGTGAAAATTTTGTTTTTGCTTGGACCTCTGCCATGCTTCATTTTCATCTCTTGTCCTTAGCTGTGAAAATTCAGTACTTCTGAACAAATTCCATCCAAAATATTGATGGCACCCACCAACACATCATGAGCACTCTCCAGCAGCTCCTACGTATAGTTTAAATATTCCATCTGAAAGCTATTTCTTTTAATTTCAGTGGGCTGGTTCGCTCATGAGTAGGATAGAGCCCATCCCCATGCAGGAGGGTGCCCACAAAAAGCAGTTTTCCAGTGCCCAATGGATTTGGAGCCCTCCTTTCTACGTCACCTTTGCAATCCCACAAGAGATTTGTTGGTTTCCCAATTAGAGGATTCTGTGTGTAACAGGGGTCGCACTTCTGAAAAGGCTACAGGAGAGGCTCTAGACATAAACTTTCTATTTAGCAGTCTAAGTTCAGGATGCTGATCTCCATTGCTTAGATTAAAAATTCAATAAACAAAGATCAGAATCTGGCCCTCAAGGAAATATCAGAGAGGTCCTGGAACCTGTAATTTATGAAATATGTATCACAATCGTGGATTCCTTCTCATCACTGTTTTACAGGGCTGATTATCTTCTTCATGGCATCTGATATCTGAAGTCAAGTCACTGCTTGGTTCTCATGGTCCTTACCCAAAAAAAAGAAATGTGTACAATTGTAATAATTAAATCTCCTACCATCATGCCTGCCCCTCTCAAGCACTCAACATAGACAGATCCCCATCCTCTGAAGAGAATTCCTTGCTACAAGTAATAGAAGGAAAATCTTGTCTAAAAACTTCCCTTTTCCTTTCTTGGACACATCTGCCGTGTATGTATTTATACCCCCAGAGGTCACTGGCTATTGCCTCTCCAGCTTAGTTAGGCACATACAGGCACTCATAGAACAGTGACCAAACAGTCCCAGTCAGCTGTTGGCAGCAGCTCAGCCATGCACCAGCTCTCAGCCACACTCACACACACACAAATACACACACACTTTCAGACTGGAACAGCTTCTTCTCTAGCTCTGCATATACCATATATCAAAATTGCTTTCTTTGCCAAAGTGAAAATCTAACAAGGAACTGAGATAACTTGTACTTAAGGAAACCACATTTCTGAACATGTAGGAATGATATCTTTCTCTTTGCATGTCTCTTAATAGTGTTTCCTCATCGATATAAAAGAGAGAGCCTACGCTTTTATCTCAGTTCTGTGACATAATCATAACTTACAAAGTCTGCTTTAAATAGGAGTACTAACAAAAGAGACACTGTAGAGACACTAAAAAGCTGCAAACCAGAAACATTAGAGACACTGCAAAAGAGCAAAGCAAAGCTTCAGGGAGTGTTGACATTCACTTCCAGGGATTTGTGCCGCTGACATAAATTTCATTATATAATGCAGCAATGTCTTGCGTATGAAATGCCACACTATTAACCAATGTATGTCTACAGCCTGGCTTGCCTTTGCCATGGAAAACTGCACTTTTCCTGGAAAATGACTGAAAGTGGATTTGAATGGTATGAAAAAGAGTTCCATATTTTATGGGGTGTTTTAATAATAACTGTTGCATAAAATGATACTTCTTTGTCTTTGGGGAACTGTGTTTGCCTTAAGGCCCAGAACCATCACTCTTTGATAAGGGAAAAGGTGAAGCTCTCCCTCTGGCCATATACAGGATTTTGTAGGGCTCTGCTGGAAATAATTTTCCTAATAAGATTAAGGTTTACCCTGACTCAGTTTCCACACAAGCATTTGTTAGTCTCAAAAGCCACTTAATGTTGGTTACATCCAAAATATACACATATGCATATACACCTGTATTCTATACCCTAGAAACAATACAGATATGGAGAATACTTCAAAGAGGTGCAGACCCAGGAGACATATCCCCATCATGGCGTGACTCCAGAGGGGTACAGTAAAGCTCTGACAAAGCACCCTTACCAATTCTACCCTAACCAATACAAGTTAAACACAAACAACTTTTCTTTCTCATAATTTCATTCATTTTAAACGCAGGCTGTGGGCCTATCACTCATGCTAAAATCCAAACTCAATTTAAAACCATAGTTCACTCTGGCCTAATGTGGGCCTGTATTTCTACAGGCCCCATGGGAGCTGTCCAACAGGTATTTCAGAGCTGTGGACACCTTTTCTAGCTCCAAGGATTTTGCTGTTGTAGGCAAAATATAAATTACCTCTCAAAGTCTACAGTCAATCACACAATAAACAAGGGCATTCAAATTGTTACTATGCTTCACAACATGGCTTCTCAGAATGTCCTAGTGAGGACAGAACTCGGATCGTCCTGCTAAAGGAAAAAGAAGATTAACATTTAAAAAAAAATCCTAGCCATCCCTTTCCTTTGAGGTTCCAATGTTGATTCTCCATCTCTTGATATATTCAAATCAAGACTAGATGCCTTTCTGGCATATATGGTTTAGCTGAACAAGTTAGATGGGGGTAACTGGGTTAAATTCTACAGCCTGTGATATACAGGAGAGCAGACCAGATGATCGAATGGTTCATTCTGGCTTTAAAAATCAATTAATATATGACTAAATCTCTAAGTCTGCTTTATTTAGCCTGTAAGTGCTTCAGAATATAGACTGCCTGTGCTTTATGTGTTATATAGTGTGGAACACCCTATAAGTATTAAACAAATAACTAATGAAGTTGAGGCACTGAAAGAGTTAACCTAAACACACTTTGTCAGTGGTTTGTTCAGTACTTCCATGATACTGCTATAGAGCTCACGGACAGTAGTTTTACATCTGTTACTTTTATTTTCCTTTCCTAGAAGCTTTAACAAAAGAAAATAGCTAGCAATCCAGAAGAGGAAATTTTCCTCAGCAGAGAAAATAGCCTATAACTGGCTTCCCATAAAACAGTGAAAATTACACTGTGAGCAAAAGTAGCAGAGGAAATAAGTCAACCTGAAGTGCTCTTGGGAAAATCTTTAGTGGCAGATATAAGGACGATATAATTGCTAAAGATGAGCAGGTTTTTCTTTTATCTCAATAAAGCACTTTTGGATGAAAAGATTGGAAAGACAGGAGCAATACAATAGAAAACGCCTGTTACAATCTTATTTACATAATTTTATATAAAGGAGCATTGATGTATGAAGTGTAAAATGAATGTGTTGAATACCGAAAATAAAGCATTACAGAAAACAAATTATGCTTACTCCCCAGCTATAAAGAAGTTTAATGTTTGATTAAATACATTTGCCTGGTGAAGAGAGGCATTGATTTTATAAAAAGCTGAGTGTGCCATTTCAATAAAACAGAAAACTCCCTGTCACTGGATCTTTTATGCAATGTGGCTCTTACAGCTGAATCTTAAACTGTTTTGTATATTCTTTTGCATAGGAAACATTTTCCCAATATCACAGACATTAGCTGAAAATGCTAAATATGGAGCTCTTATTGTACATTTCCCCTTTTCCCATTCCCTCTTGTCTCAAGCTGGTATGGTGCCATATTTGACAGGCTCTGAACAGCAAATGGCTTTGTAGACACACTAATCTAAAGTGGATGATGACTGAATGAATGGACTGGTGGGTGGCTAAACACAAGCCATCTCCTAGATTTCCGTTTACTTGCATGATTATCTTCTGCTTTATTATAAAATTATCTACTTTAATAGAGAAACTTGTTAGCATCAATATACATATTATATTCCTTAACAGACTTCACAGATATCTGAAACCCATTTTAACCCATGCTGGTCCACCGCTTACAACAACATTACCCGAATGGTGTAATCCTATTGCCAGACTGCTAACTAGCCCTAGAGCATATGGAGTAAGTATATATATATTGTGTGTGCATTAAACTTTGTGAATAGCATTTAGAACCTGATCTAAAGCCCACTGTAGTTAATGGAAGCATTTACATGATTTCATTGGGCTTTGGATCAAGCCTTTAACAAGGCTAGACACTATATGGCTGTCGTGTCGTAGGGGTGAAAAAGTACGGCGACATTTTCAAAAGTGGCTACTAATTATTAGTGCTGTGGGTTTTCAGGTGGCCTACTTTAGATACCTAAGGCCTGGCTTCCAATGGTACGGAGAAGCAGGAGACTAGAGGCAGCCACTTGCTTCAAATTGATAAAAATCAAAGTGAGGTCACTGTATTTAATAGTTGATATTAATCATCAACACTGAAAATATTAAAATGGAATCCCATCAAGCTTGTTTCTGGGAAATTGTCACTGATTAGGGTCCCTTTTCCTTTTTAAAACACAGGAGCAGCTGAAGGATGATGACATGGACTGTATCGTGAATAATGATGAACTGACTATAAATTATGAAGACCCCAATCCTGTTCCAGTGCCGGCACAGGCCAGAATAGACTCACCCCAGACTCCAGGCAAGGAAAACATTCATGAAGGAGACCTTGTATTAGGAGGATGTGAACTCCAGTTGGAGCACACTCCAGCACAAACCCAGTTGAATTCATTAGCATGAGCAGTGCAAATGTAATCATAAGAAATGCACAGAACATGAAGGAATAAAAGCCACACGTATGAGGGAGTGTTGGTAAGAAGCTAGAAAATGTATTAAAAGCAGAAATTGAAGAGAATCAAAACCTTGTCAAATGTATCTTCTGGTGCCTGAAGAAATGAGGATCATCATCATCCATATATGCTATACAACTAAATTTAATGTTTTGACAGTGGCAATTTTTATTAATGAAATTGAAGGCACTGTCTGCTAAAGGCATATTACAGATGCACTCACAGCGTCAATTGTACTTCGCACACACATAAACACACAGACTTCTGAATGTTGTTCTCTTTGTTAATTAATTCAGGTGAGGAGGAGAGATATTTGATTAACACGATCATGCTCAGATGATCATAGAACTTTGTAATAAGTTGCTCCTGGGCAGACATATCACCCATGGGACAGGAGGAAATTTCTTTTGTACAAATGCAAACTTTGGGCAGCTACTTTCTCTTTACAAATGTTTAAGACTCCCACTTAATGCTTCTAGCATTTGGCATTTTCTAGAGTCAGTCCAATGAATGCTTCAGCAAAAATAAGTTTCACACCCTTGGCTGCAGAGGGTTAATTCAGAACACAAAAACTGGGCATTGCTATATTAGCTGTTCAAGCTAAATAAATCAATAATGGAACTTTTTATTATTATTTTGATTGATCATGATCACTATGGCATACAGCAATTACACTTATCCCACAATGCATTTGTTGCTAGAGCTTGGCAGTAGGTTTTTATACACAGCTTGCGTGATGGGAACAATTTATGTTTTTTGTTGTGGTAAAAACATTCAAAGTTTGTATTTTGATTTTAGCTTCTTGGGGGCTGGGTGGTGGTGGTGGGGTGTGGGTGTGGGTGTGTATATAATATATTATATATATACACACACACACACACAAAGTCCTGCAAAAGAGTTTACTTTTTAAGATAAGATTTAAGATGTGCATGATCACACATTTACATTTGGCACTTAGATATTACAGTGAAAAGTAAGATGGTAAAACCTAGATAGACAAATGAGAGAAAGATTTAGGTATGGAAATACCAGCTGTGTCTGCATAAATTCAGCATATGAATTCACACATGGTCAGTCATGCACCTAACGGATCATGATGTACCTGGCCGTATCAGGCATTTGCACATATAAATTGGGTATTGCGAATGCATGCGCACAGGGGCATGTCTCTAACATTTAAAGTCTGGCTTTGTATCTTCTCAGCACAGGAGTTTCAGCTCAGATGCAGCATAGGTTGCTTATCACATTGCTTGAAAGTGTTCCTACCATGAAAGCTGAACCACGAGTTTCGAACAAGGTCATTCTTAACCAAAAAGTAACAGAGGGTCCTGTGGCACCTTTAAGACTAACAGAAGTACTGGGAGCATAAGTTTTCGTGGGTAAGAACCTCACTTCTTCAGATGCAAGACATTTCTAAGCCATGGGGGAGGGTGTGTGTGGAATCAAGTCATCCCAATGAAACCATGAATGATCATAAAGCTGAATGGGTTTTGATTCCATCACAGATGGAAACTGAAACACAGACTTAAATATAATCCAGTTTTAGTCATTCTTTTCCAGGCTAATTAATTGCTGGTTGGATTTAAAACTAGACCAGCTGCTCTAAGCATAAATTTAACACAGGAGTGCTATGCGCTTTTCGGAAATATCAGAAGCTTAAATTGGCTTTCCCCTCCCCCAAAAAACATTAATCAAGGGGCTTCAAAGGATGTTAGTCCCCATGTGGGGGTGGGGACTATTCTATATTAGGTCGTCCCGAGGAAAAGTGGTGGGTTTGCAACTCCCCGACTTGACAAATCTAGCTGAGGGAGAGTGGAGGAAGCTGTGTACCCTGGATGCATGAAGGAATAGAGAAGAAAGAAGAAATGAGGAATATGGTGTTATGCCCTGAGTGGCCCAAAGGAGGATGGAGTTGTGCACTGTGGGGCACCAGGTGGGCAGGGCTGACAGTACAAGGAGAGATGAGCACCTAGAGGCACATAGAGGAGAGCTGAACATTTAGTGACATATAGTGGGTTATTATACATATGATAGTGGGTATTGTAGTGCAGTCATGAGTCCAGTAGCTAGGGCTACTGCCTTCAACCTTTACAAGTACTGTGTAAGTGTCCCCATGCTCCTTGTATTCCTTGGAAAAGAATAATTCCAGATAGGTTTGGAGATGATTAGATGTATGGTGGAAATAACTAAGTCCTTGCAATATTAATAGGCAGGTGTTAAGCTTTTTTCCTCCTCCCCAAGAGCTGGAAGTGACTCAAACTCTCTTTGCCAAATGTTCTGTTCTGAAATACACCCCCCTACTGGAGCATCCTCTGCGTTTCTTCCCCATTTTATTTATTGTGGCTGTGTCCATGTTTCATTAAGTGGGATACATTAAGAGCCCTAGGCTGATGTCCTCTGCTGAACCATAGACTAGTACAGTAGCAAAAGATCTTCCACACCATCATGCCAATATTCCTTAAGACTTACTTTGGAAGGCTAACTGCTTTTTTAGGGTGAAAAGTAGTTCAATCTTCATGGCCATTCAGTCCTTGCTCTTCGTGCTGAGATTGTCAACAAAGGAACATCCGTGTTTTGTGGGGTGGACACCTATCCACTGAGACTGACTGAGAGCACCAAATTAGATTCTTTTAGCTTTACAGAGTTGGGCTACCAGAAATCTCTAGTAGTGGTAAAAGGGTCTATAACCTATTGCTATCCACTGCATTATTAAATCCTTCTTGTTTCCTAATTTTAAAGTATGCTTTGTACTGGTGGAATACTGATACATAGCATGATGATATGTACTGTATTCAGCCATAAGGGATACTGGGAACTAGTGTCTAGTAATTCTACATGAAAATTTAAACAGTGATGTGAGAGAGGGCCTCTATGGTATAATTCAATTCGTACTTTGAACATTTAAACTACTTAGTTTAATACAGTGCTTGACTGAACATGTGATTCACTACCATGATAAATATGGAGTTATTTTTCCTGTTTGACCTAATCTAATAAAACATTGCTTGGAAAATGACACATAAAATACCTAGTCACAATGTAGTGACTGCATACTCAATATTAAGGTCAATATGCTAGAGAAGATGTGGTCTGGAATTCTGCTATGTTACTAAACCCTTATTTTATTTCCAGTAGCAATAACTGGGATTCCATATTAAACTGCAGCGCATGTTTAGATAGGTTTTAGAAGTATCATGAATGGATCCTGGATGTGAAGGAGAGCCCAGTTCAAAAAGAAACTGCACTAAAAGTTATCAGGTTCCCGTGATAACATTCACTGAGAAGTGCAACATCTGGTAACCTAGGGCAAGCTGTTATGAACAAACATTCTCATTGTTCTGCATAACAAACTTAGACTTTTCCATAATAGCTACTTCAGACCTTAGTCCAGCAAAGCACTTAACCGAGTGCGTAAATGTAAGCCAACTGAAGCCAATAGGCTACTCACACCCTGAGTATATGCTGTGTTAGACTGATGCCTTAGTGCATTTCTTTTCTTTTTGAAAGTTAATGGACAGCAGCTGTCACTGAGTCTTCAGCGTACACACAATCCTGATTTGTATACACATCAGGGGTGCACAAGCATCACAGTGTGCACATGCACAGGTTAGGTGCACACACGTGCACTTTTGAAATGCTATCCCTATGTTTTCATAAATCCCAATAATGCCTGGGATAGAAAAATTAATTTGCCACTTGAGAACTGAACATTAGTAGAAACTAACATTCTGCGTCACCAAAAAGTGCTGCTTCTAAACAGAAAGCCTTTTTTCCTCTGTTTCCTATTAGCAAAATGAAAAACAGTCTTACAATGAACCACTTCAGTGAGTTTTAAATAACTAAAATAACACAAGCTCATCTCTACCAGTATAATCCCAACAGACATGAATCCCAGCTAGTCAGCTGTGAAGGGCTTGTCAACATTTTTATTTTATAAATAATTCTTTCAGAACCAGAGAATTCTCTGTTTGGAAACAGGAATCAACCAGCGAGTTGAGTTAACCCCTTGTTTTGTTCCTAAAAGTGAACCTTTTCAACCAATGAAATCCCCTCACAAAGTTAGCTCACATTGAGTTGATCTAGAGCTTTTGTTAGCTTCCTTGGCAGTTTTTGTCCTTCAAGGGGATTAGCTGAAATACCTGAATATGTTTTGTTTGAAAACTTTTTCTTCTAATTTTGTCCCTTTTTGGTATATTTAAATCAATTTACAACAGAAACATGATCAAATACATGAGTGCCAGTTTATGTACAAAATGAAAGCAAACTAAGACTGCCAAGATAATACTGGTTTTTTTCTGCTTCATTCCCCCCTTTCAAGGGATTAAGAGGTAGGACAGCCTGGTTCGATACTGAATGTCAGAAGAGCAAATATTCCCTCACCAGTCTGGCAAAGCAGATCCAGCCAGCAGGCTCAAAATAGTTCATCAGATTAAATGTGGTAGAAAAACAGATTCTTCATGAAAGTAAGGAGAAGCAATACAAAAGCGACGTGGAACCAGTCAGTGGTCCAGGTTGTTGCTTCCAATAATGAAAAGCATCAACACCAAGATGTTTCTATGAGGAAATGTTTGCCCCATGGTAAAGACTACCCGTACCCACCATCCACACACACACTTTGGCTCTGGCCCTTGGTGGCCTCCCTGCCAGCAAGGCCTCATTGAAGCTGCATTGCTGGAACCTTCCCCCAGCAGCCATGGCAGCCCCAGACCCTCTTTGAAGATCCACAAATAAATTGATACAGTCTAGGGCTGTATTAATTATTCCAACTAATTTCCCGGGGATTCGGGAGAAGGTAATGAGCATCCCAACCCAGTTCTTATCCCCTGAACTACTCTGACTCCATCTTCTCCCTCCAGTGTGGATTCTGGATGCTGACAGCCCTGCACATGCTCCATGGAGTGGAAATGATGCTGTTTACGAATCAAGTCTTCTTGCCAATAAAGGCAATCCTTAGTATCATCAGAGTGGTGGCAAGATTCACTCACCTAGCCAGTAAGTGAAGAAAGCAGGTCTTAGGTACAGACGAGACCACCATCATTTCAGGCCCTAGATGGCTTCAAATCTGGGCAAGATAGATTAGTTTCACCCTCCTTGTGGACCTTATGAGGTTTGAAATTCTGATGCTAGAAACCATAGGGAATAAATGAATGTATATTGGAGCCACTGTTCTACATCGTTCTTATTGTTTAACTGTCTGTTTCTATGTATGTTACTATGAAGGCTGATGGACATAAATAAAATACTACTGCTACTTTATTCAATAAGGATTTCAAATGAGTGAGCAGCATGTCTAATGAGCTAAACTCTAAAAGAAAACCTCACACAGTGATATTAGGCATTACACTTGCCTGACACAAGTAATACACAAGTGAGTTCAAGTAGGATTATAATATCCCATAAGCATAATGAGATTTCTTATACCAGAGGTAGAATATATACTAAATATAACCCAGTGCTTTAGAATACACAGCTGACTGGAACTGAAAATATGAGAAAGAGACAAGGCAAAGGGGAATAAATGAATGATGGAGAAAAATGTATCTGTATACCAGAGAGATGAGCAACCTAAAAGAGGTCAAAGGATTCAGCATTGATTGCAAACTTAAAAGCCCAAATGAATTATTTGCCAGTAGTTTGACAACCTAAGAATTTGGTTTGAGAACATTACTGAAAAACACTAATGCTGAAAAACCAGTATCACTGATCACCATCCCTGTAAAACACTAGGAACTCCACAGGCCTACAGGGAGCTAGAACAGAAGTCTGTAGGCTGACTGATTGAAAGCAAATGAAGACAAAGTCCTAAATTTAAGAGGCTACTTTTTATGTAGGGCTATTAGTGGAGCAGTGGAAGCAATGCCAGGCCAGGTCTACACTACAAAGTTTTGTCAGCATAGTTGTGTCAGTCATGAGTGTGGGGAAAAAACGCACCTGCTGTCACACTGTCTGGAATGGCTCATTACCATGAGTGCCAACCTCAGGGCAGACTGTCAAAAAGCAGGCAGACACCTCAAGCTGGTGGTATGTTCTATAAAGCTCTTGAGTAACAAATGTGAACTCCTGGATCACTATAACAGTCTTACAATGGAGTCACAGTTCCCTTGGGCTCTCCAGTCTATCTTTCTACCCAGGTAAGCTGGATGTAGTGATAAATGGTCACTTATATCAAAAATTACAAAGTAGTCAGGTTGTTCCCAGTCCCAAGAGATCAGTCACTTATCCCAGATCAAATTGTTTCTTAGATCTCATACCAAAGACAATGTCTAGAGGCAATTGTCTAATAAACTATCTAAAGGTTTATTAACTAGGAAAAAGAGAGTTATTTACAGGTTAAATTAAGCAGGAAAATACACACATGAGTTATCATCTAAGATTTCTAAAGATGACAGAGATGTCGTAATCTGTCAGTTCAAAATGTCTTACAGGACAGACCCAGAGGTAACACCTGGAGATCTCTGCCTTAGTTTAGTGTCTCTGGCTCTCTGAGAGTTCAAACAGCAAAGAGATGAAAAATTCTCTTGTGACCCTGTCTTATCTTTTCCATTTGGTCTTCGTCTATGAGCCTTGCTCCCTTACACATAGCATTTCGAAGGGGTGATAGGGCCATTCACCAATCCTTTGTTTCACAACGTTCCTTAATGGCCTGTTTAATCTTGACGGGACTCCTTAAAGGGCAGAGGAGATGATTCCCATACCTGAGTTCACCAGTTCAGAGCAAACATTTTTGGTGTTATAAAGCAAAACTTATATATTTTCTTACAGAGTGAAATGCAGACATTATAACTGAGATTAATGCATGCAGCAATTTACAAGCATTTCATAGAGTCTAAACACTAAATATATTCTTATAACATTAATACCTATTTTGAACAAAACATACGGGTGAACTGGTTTGGTTTCCATCGATGAGCTTGTCACGTTTGAGCTAATGCCTACAGCCTTGGCTGGAACTGACGGTTTACCAGCATCATACCTGCAGCCAACATAGCTATGTTGGCAACCCCCCCCCCAGCGTGCAACTATGCTGACAGAAGGACGTGGTGTTACTATACTGACAGAAAAACTCCTTTGGTTGTCATAAGATGTGTCTATCCTAGGGGGCTCTGCCAATATAGCTATTCTAGCAAAGTATTTGTAGTGTATACAAGACCTGAGCCTGCTATCTTCAGGGGAAGTGTGAGAACCACATTGAGGGTATCAGTTTCTTCAATCTTCCTTCTTTCTCCTCCCAACCCCCCACAAGAATCCTGCTGCTTAACAACGTCCCCATGAGGCACCCACTAGTCCAGGGGTCGGCAACGTTTGGCACGCAGCTCGCCAGGGTAAGCACCCTGGTGGGCCGGGCCAGTTTTATTTACCTGCTGATGCGGCAGGTTCGGCCGATCGCGGCCCCCACTGGCCGCGGTTTGCCGTCCCGGACCAATGGGGGTGGCGAGAAGCCGCAGCCTGCACATCGCTCACCCACGCCACTTCCCGCTAATGACTAAATGGTGGATTCCCTGTAACCTGAAGTCTTTAAATCAAGATTTGAGGACTTCAGTTACTCAGCCAGAGGCTAGGGATCTATTATAGGAGGGGGTGGGTGAGGTTCTGTGGCCTGCAATGTGCAGGTGGTCAAAGAAGATGATCATGATGGTCCCCTCTGGCCTTAACATCTATGAGTTCTAGCTATTGATATTGATTAGACCTAGAAGGTGCTCAGTATAAAATCCTCAGATAGATCCCTGGGGGAGCTCTAAACCTAGGTGAGAGATCAAAGTCCTAGTAGACACAGGCTGTAAAACAGGCGGGGGTTAGTGGTGGAGGGGGCTTGCCACCTGTGACCTGCTGGTCCTGCCACTGCTGCAGCCTTGGTCCATTCCAGACTGTTCTCTGCTGCTGGTGATTTGAGAGGTTTGTGGAGTGCTCTTCCCACATGGGGGAAGAGCAAAAGATGCTTGGTTGAGGCAAATTCATTCAATTTATGAACTAGTGTACCAGCAGGGTAGTGTGTAACAATTTTCACCTCTGCTTTATAACTGCAAGGTTTGCATGGCCCCTGCAACCAGTTCCCAAATGACAGCTTAGGGCCTGACCACCACTAACTCTACCAGTAATTGAAGACTGGCTGTGGAGGCTTGGCCCCTGCTACAACTCAGACTCTTAACAGAGAACTGATTAGTGTCATTGATGCCCTGGCACCAGTCAATTCTCACTCTGATCTAGTTTAGTAGAGAGTGGCTGTGGTCTGGTGCTGATCTTTGAAATTTAAATAGCCTGAATAGGAGATTAGAGTATGTGGGAACTCTTGAAGAGAAGTGTGAGGTCATTTCCCCATATCTGGTGGAGTTCAGACCCTTTTATTGATACTACTAACAGGGCCGGCTCTGGCTTTTTGCCAACCCAAGCAAAAACAAAACAAAAAAAACGGGGGCAGCCAGAACGGCAAAGCAAAAAAAAAAAACCCTGCGACGCAGCCGGAGCCAGGGTGCAGGGGGACTCCCTGCGCTGCAGATGTGCCCCGGCTAGCGGGCGGAGGAGGAGAGAGCGGGGGGAGAGAGAACGGGGACGGCCAGGGCTTCAGCGGGGCGCTTGCCTTGTGGCCCCAACCGCCGCGCTGCCTGCCGGGAGCGCTCCACACCGCTCCGGTCGGCGGGCAGGGAAGGACGTGGGCTGCCCTGCCGGGCTTGCTATAGACCTGGCACCGGCTGGGGCAGACAGAACGCGCAGCCTGCTCCCAGCAGGACGCTCCCCTCCTCCGCGCCACCGCCCCCTACAGGGTGGCCGGATCAGCGAACAAAACAAAAAAACAAAAAAAAGCGGCCGTGCCGCCCTAGGATTGGGTGGAATGCCGCCCCGTAGAATCTGCCGCCCCAAGCACGACCTTGCTCGGCTGGTGCCTGGAGCCGGCCCTGATTACTAACCATCGCTGCGGGAAATGATTTGTCACTGGGGCTCAATAATACATGAAGAGCATTTGGGAGTGTGGGGGCTTTAAAAATATTTGCCCTTTAGTGCATTCAGATCCATTCCAGAAAACTCCCCATGGGAGAACACACCCCAGACTTCTGTTACAAGGCTTTTGACCCCTGCATCCACACGTACAAATTACATTGTGTGCTATCAAGCTCCTCGGGGGCTTCCTTTATATTTATACAGTCCCTAGGACATTGTGGGAACTACACAAAACAAAGAGGAGTGATATACTTGGTGATATTTTTCAGGCACACATATGAATGTTTCCAGCAAATGATTTAATGCAAGTGTTTGCCAAGGGTTTTTATCCTTGGCAAACACTTGAAAACAAATCAACATATTCCCTAGACATGTGCCCCTACTGACTGCAGCCCTATGTAACCTGGTAAATGGGGATTTAACAGGATAAAGGGAACATGCTTGTGGAACTCCTTGCTTATAATATTAATTGCACTGATTTAAAGTGGCGTTATCTTTTAAAAGAGGAGAGGAGAAAGTACATATACATAAATATGCAAGCCCAGCCCACTGACCTCCCTTTTCCGTTGGGCTGTGCTGTGACTAATGTCTGAGGCCATGTGGCACAGGCCCTGCCACTGTGCAGGGGAGGCAGGACTTGCAGCAGTTTTCCACACAGGTTTTCTGGCACATGCTTGTACTAGAATTTGGCCTTTCACTCATAGCAATCTGAGTTGATGGGGATTTTCCTCAGAAGCTACAAATATAGAAACATCATAACACGGGACTAAAGATGTGCTTTGTAGAGAGGGCTAAAGCAGTGACTGCAGCTAGGATTCTTTGAGGTTTTAACATCCTGGATTTACTTGTTCTGAAAGCCCTGTTAGGACAGTGTTTATTTAGACTAAGTGTTCACCATCTGTTCTACCAAATTCTAAACAGGAAGAAAATACACTCCCCCAGCAGTCACAAAACACACCATTGCTGTGCTATTGATGTTAGGACATACTAGGTGCAGAATTCACGGATGACAGTGCATAGTGGCTGAGGTTTTTCTTTCAGGAACAAATTGGGGATTAGCAAAAACAACGAGGAGTCCTTGTGGCACCTTAGAGACTAACAAATGTATTTGGGCATAAGCTTTCATGGGCTAAAACCCACTTCATCGGATGCATGGAGTGGAAAATACAGTTGGCAGGTATAAATACACAGCATATGAAAAGATGGGAGTTGCCTTACCAAGTGGGGGTGTCAGTGCTAACAAGCCAATTCAATTAAGGTGGAAGTGGCCTATTCTCAACAGTTGACAAGAAAGGGTGAATACCAAGGGAGGGAAAATCACT